TTCAGGAGCCTCCTTCCTTCCTGAGTATTACATTTCATGAGTTCGTATATGTATTGAGGCCCAAATCTTGAGCTCCAGCATTCTGACCCTGAAAATGATGGTTTCCTAACATCTTCTGATAACAGCATCTGAAGATGTTTTAATACCTTGCTGCTCCTAGGAGATCCAGGGACCAGCAGCATCAGCATCACTGATGATTTATTGGAAATGAGAATTGTGGGCCCCTCCCTGGACCTCCTGCAACAGAATGTGTGCTTTGACAAGGTCCCCAGGTGATTCCTGTACACATTGCAGTTTGAGAAATACCACAGTAATAGCGTTAAATCATGTTCCAAAGAGTAATCAAATGATATGCAATGGTTTTAGTGGATCACATCAGGCTTGTTTCTGTCTGTAAAGAAGAGAAGGATTCAAGGAAGAGTTGTACTTATCTTTATGAAAGTCTTTTGACTCCTCCTAAGCTGTTTTAACTGTATGGTAACTGTTGTAACATGCAAAAGCTAGCAGAAGACAGAAGGCCCTGGTGGCAAGTCAGCCAAATGAGTCAGTTTTTAACCAGTCTGTTTCCCCAGTCATTCTTCATGAGTCTTTTGTACACTGATTGTCCTTCCCTTGACCATGGTGAACTGTAGAACCCAAGGACCCATTTCTATGCTGAACTCACTGCATTAATCATGTTTACCTCATTAGGCATTTACTCACAGATTGCCTTGACATATGTAGGCCTTAATTCATTCCGGAGCTATTAGACCTCAGCATTTCTTAAAATACGTAGCACTCTGCACCATACAAAGTAGGTACTCAATAAATTAGTGATTCAATGACAGGTTTTCAGGAAGTGGTTTTTCTCTTCAACATTTTTTAATCCTTCTCTTTTGTCTTGAGGAACTTATTTGTCTGATGCCGAGGAAAGACTCACTAATTCTTTCTTGAATCGCTCAACATTTGTTTTAGACTCTGCTGAGAGTGCCACTGTAGGCTTTTTCATTGATTTGCTTCTTTATTTTGACACCATAAGGCAGCTTTTTGTGCCTTGGTTACTTTTGCCTTACAGAATTATGGGTCCCTGTCAGTTACTAATGCTCTTAAGTAACATAGTGGCCACCATAACCAGTCCTTACAGGCAGTTTCTAATGTTTCCAAATAATTTCATTTTCTGACATTTTTTGTTTTGCGTTTGACATCTGAACTATACTTGGCAAGAAAAAAAAAACCGTAAAACTTTCCATTGCAACTCTTATCTCATGTTGCTTCCTGTTGCATTAAATCTCAAGTTATTCATCAGAAAAGTTACACAAAACCATAACCATTCGCTTTTATGTTTGCCCTTGAATTATGCTACAGTAACAGAAAGCTGAACTCTTATTTTTGTCATCTGTAAAAGTCACCTAATTGGTTTCTGCTTATGGACATGTTTTGTTCCTTCTCTGTCAATAACACAGGCATTGCCATCGGTTAAATCTCCTCCTAGACAGCATTCTGAATAGCTGGCAGCTGCTAGAAAGCCTTCCATGGATCCTATGAATCCTAGATCATCACGGGGCCTTCCCTTCCTCTTTGAGCATGGGGGCTGCCTCAGTGTCCCTTGGCTTCTAAGAGAGTGCCTTGTGCAGATGAGACACAGGACCAGTTTGATGACTGCACGTGCAGATGAAGCCATACATCTTACCCATCATCTGTTCCACCCTTGGCATCCCTCATGCCCTGGTTCCACTTGAACCCAGCTGCCTCACGCATCCTTTTTGCTTACAAATTTTCTAGCTTGTGACCATTCTCCACCACTTCCCCTGAGTTTTACCATTCTCTACCTGTGCCCTACAACAGCTCCACCCTTTGAAATAACGCCTTGTCTGAATGTTACTTCTTTACTTTACTTTCTTGCATTGTGTTACAGAGCTAGAAAATTTTATGTATGAAAAATGATAATAGCCTTACACTGAGTACAAATAATACTTAAGAGCATATGAAGATGTGATCATTTGTGATGTTACTTGTAAAAAAAAAAAGTATGTATATACATATCTTTTGAAGTGTTGAAATGAGTACTTTATATTCTTTATCATACCACTTTTTGTAAGTGTTGAATATATTCCTGTTTATTTTTCTATGTTCTGTTTTGTAGCCTTAAGAAGTGTTTCAAACATATCTGAATGTATAAAATAAGAGTAAATGCCCTACATGGTGTGATGCTGCATTACATATAAAACTGTGTGCATATATTAAATTTTGTCTCTTGAAAAAAAAAATTGGGTCTTCCTTGATTATCCATCCCACTGCGATTCTTTCTCCTGCCCATGGCCTCTCTAACAAGTCTTGCATCCTCATTCATATGACCTTGCTTGCCAAGCTACCTGCGCTATCTCTGCGTGTTTTAAACTCTTATTAGAATGAAAACTCTTTGAAGGAGAAATGTCTGTGTGATTTTGCCATAGCTCTTCATACACATTCTCACTAATTGTGTTTGTTTATGTGCTGTGTTTGTTGCTGTTTGGAATTCATTGCTTTTAAAGGCCGAGGAAACTTGCTTTTAGATCCAAGCCTAGGAGTGCTACCTTTTTTTTCTCCTAGATGGCTTACCTCACCACCAAGTGTGAATGTCGGTGGCTTAAAGCCACCTGTGGCATTGTTTGACAGAACCGTAGGCTTGTGGAAAATCTCGTGTGATCTGCTTTGTGCAAATTGCTCTTTACAGTAGAGACTTGCTGTTTCTGCAGTCTTTAGTTTCTGTGAATTTTGGGGAGCTGTGGAGTGTGGGTGTTAAGCTTGATTTTCTCTCCATCGCCAGCTCCACCTTTGATTCATTTATCCTCTTATGTGTGAATCCTTTGCAGAAGGCTCAGTGCATTATGACTACAGAGGCCAGACAAAGTCATAAAGTAAATCACACCATCTGACACAGGACAGTCTTTTGCCACTCCTGCCTTTCCTCCTTATGAATCATAGATTATCTCAGTCCTTGGGATTGCTGGAATAGGAATGGCTGAAGGGGTCTTAGTGCAATGGAGAGTGCCTGAAGATACTCTTCTACCTACCTGAGGGTAAATAATCCCATGTTGCAAAGGTGACCTCCGGTTGTACTTTTTGGAAAGCCCTATTAAAATGACACACGCTAAGGAGACTTAAATATGAAGCCTGTCTTACATGGGTACTTAATAAAAGCAGGTTTCCAAAGAAGGTCTTGAAGGTGGCCTTCGGCCTTTTCCTCCACCATAGTCTCCATCCATCCAGAATAAACATGCAGTATAGGTACCACAAGTAGTGTTCTCTAACGCAAGCAGAGCTTCCAGATATGTCTCCTGCCTCCCTTCCAGCCAGATTATCACCCATGTAGCCCCTCCTCTACGGGAATTCTGGAGCTACCACTGATATCATAACGTGACATAGATTTGGACTGGCAATGCCCTACCTTCTCTGTCTATAGAGGAAAAGGAGATGAAATAAGAATTTTAATTTTTTTTTTTTTTTTTTTTTGAGACAGAGTTTTGCTCTTGTCATCCAGGCTGGAGTGTAATGACATGATCTCAGCTCCCTGCAACCTCTGCCTCTCGAGTTCAGGCGATTCTCTTGCCTCAGTCTCCTGAGTAGCTGGGATTACAGGCGCCCACCACCACGCCTGGCTAATTTCTATATTTTTGGTAGAGACAGGGTTTTGCCATATTGGCCAGGCTGCTCTCAAACTTCTGACCTCAGGCGATCTGCCCACCTCGGCCTCTCAAAGTGCTGGAATTACAGGCATGATCCTGTAATTGTAATATTCTTAAATCTTAATATTCTGTAGCACTTACTGGAAATGGTTGAAATATAATGCTTTTAATTTAGCATGTCATTGTAGGTTTCAAAACTACTGAAAGCACTCAACATTTTAATGATGATGTTGGTGAGAATATTTGTGGTAATTAGAAAATTACTTAAATTTATTCAGCACTTTACAAAGCATTTTCACAAACTCTGAGTATCCCGTTACCAGTTTATTAATGAGATGCCTGAGGTGTCTTCAGGGGACAGGAGAGAATATGTTAACTTACTAAATAACTGCTGTAGCTGTAGTTAGCCACCTATGAGCCAAGCCTATGGGCTTTGTTACTCCCAAGGTAGAACTTATTTCATATAAAACCAACTTGACTAAGTATTAGATGTCTGTGTAAGTCATTTTCTGCCAGCCAAAACCAATTTTATTCTTCTTTATATCTTTTTTCAGATGTATATCTTTAATAAGTTCTGGGAAAGGAAGTGCAAAACAATGCCTGACCTCTGATACAATGTACTGTTTTGATTGTGATCGGCACTTTAATAAAATTTATCATCAAGAAGGTCTTTGGAGCGAGTCCCTGAAAAGCTTGGGAAAGTGATCGATAGGGTGTCACTTTTCTTAACTTACCTTCCCATGTTGCTTAAGATGACCAGGGAGGCTAACTTGGCTCTTGTGCTCTCTAAATTGATGTGTCCTGAAGTTATAAGAAAATGAGGTGATCAGACTCAGCAGATTGTGTTGGTTGAAAGCAGCCACTTAGACCTCAGTTTGCTATGGGCTTCTGTGTACTTTATTCGTGGTGACCAAGATGCAATGAAAGGTCCTTATTTTGTCCACATTGCTGCCCACACCCTTTTTCATGCATACCTTTTGGGAATATATAAAATGTCTTTCATTGTTAAAATAGCTATTAGATAATATTAAAAGCAAAAAAAAAAAAAAAGTCATGAAAACAGTCATTTGTCTACTTCTGCAGGCAGATGGAAAATTAGTACCAGGAAAGCAGAAAAGAGAAATGATTTGAATAAGTTTGCTATGATTGAGACATACGGGTGAAAGAGCACCAGAGGGAAAAATGTCTAGTCTGATAACTTTCAAGAAAACATATTGACCCTGTCTAGTTATAACAATCTTTCAATAATCTCACAGTAATGGAGAACTTCATTATTTCCAAAACAATTTCACTTGCATGCCATCTGTAACCTTAAAAACAACTCTCTGAGATGGATATAATTATCCTGTTTTACAGATGTGAAAATGGAGCCCCTGAAAGATGAAATCATCCGCCCAGGCTGTAATAGGACTGCCCATCCACTGGCACATAGTAAAGTATCATTAATTCATCTTTTCATGTTTCTATTTTTAGTCATTGTGCTCCCTCACTGCTTCATTTGTAAGTAAATGTAAGATAAAAATCTACTTTCTCCTCGAATTTTCATAGCTAAATTGTCAAAGAGGTGGTTGGTGGCAGTGTAGTCAGCGGCGGACCTTTCTTGCCTCAAACACTAAAAGCCCTATTTAAGACTAGAGAATTTCCTTTTTGAGGGTTTTGTCCACTAGTCATAAGAGAGTTCAGACTATGTAATGAGTCATTGTACTTTTCCCCTTTTCTTATGGGCACCGCTTCTCTTTTGTACACTGTGTGGTCTGTCCTCTTGGAAGTTATGTCACCGTTGTCAATAGACAAATGCTGCCATAAAAGGCTGCCGTAAAACGCTATGCCAGTTCAGTCCTGTAGTTTTGCTCTTCACTAGAACGTCAAGTTGCCTCACCTAATCAGAGATCTGGACATCTTTACATAGGAAGTGTACTTCTTCATCATATAGACATAGAGGTCCGGTATTATTATCTTTAGCTTCCTTTCTCAGAACTTCTTAAACATGAATGTCTGAATAAAGATACAGAGAAGAGACTAGGCGTGGTGGCTCATGTCGGTAATCTCAGCACTTTGGGAGGCCGAGGTGATTGGGTCACTAGAGGTCAGGAGTGCGAGACCAGCCTGACCGACATGGTGAAACCCCGTCTTTACTAAGAAATACAAAAATTAGCCCAGCATGATGGCAGGCGTAATCCCAGCTACTCAGGAGGCTGAGGCAAGATAATCGCTTGAATACAGGAGGCAGAGGTTGCAGTGAGCCAAGCTGGCACCATTGCACTCCAGCCTGGGTAACAGAGCAAGACTCCATCTCAAAGAAAAAAAAATAAAAAAAGAATCACTTTGATTAGCAGAAAGTGTGTTTGGCTTGCCATCTCAGAAAGCTAAGCTATACTTATGCTTTTCTACTACTAGCTTTATAGCTTTATATGAATGTTATTTTTCCCCACACCGTGAAAGAGAAATTGGGTCATGTTGTTTTATTTAATTTTTGTTAAAGAGCACATTAAATTAGCTCTCATATCGTGGTATGGATGTCTTTCTCTTTTCCACCAGTGTTCTTCAGGGTGATTTTTCCAGTGGGCTTGGTTGGGACTGTGTGGATCCTTGTGATGCTTTGTTCTCCGCGGGGATTTTCCAGCAAAGAGGAGCTTCGTTAAACGATGACTGAGTTCATGGATTTATAATTGGAGTGATTTTCTTCAACTGTAATAAATTTCAGTGTTACCTTTTTCTGAACATCCTTTTTAAAAGGGATTCCTTAGCAAATCTTCTGGAATAATACCTTTTATATAATCCTTTAAAAATTGTCATTTTTGCATACTGATTCCTGTTAAGGCAGATGTTACTGCATCAAGAAAAGACTCAAATTTTGAGCATATTAAAAATAGTGTTTCTTCAGGCCTGGTGTGTAGGTGATGCTCAATGTATGTTTGTTTAATGGAATAAAAAAGAAAAATATCACAGATCCTAGGAAAAGAAATTAAGTTGCAGGGATATATTGTTTGTGTAATGTCTGTTTAGCATTGCAGTTTTCTGAAGGGAAGGCTACCCACAACTGTTAATTCTGATCTAAGGAACTATTTGCCTTCTTAACGTCTTTGCTAGATTATCTAAAGGGAGATATGTGTTCTCACATTTGTTTCCTTGAACTCACTCCTCATGTTGCCTTGTAGGGTCAAAACTTTAGAAAAACAGCTTTCTCAGGAAACCTGCTCCTCGGATCTTTCAGACATGTCTTCCTTTAGGCTCATTGTCCCCTTGGGAATTGGCAAAGGATTTCTACCCTTTAAAAAGATAGGAGCTTATACACTAAAAAATAATCTAAAATTATTTTTCAGGAAGAATTTATACAATCACAATTAAATGCCCTGCAGCCAGTTATGTTTATGATTCCTGCCTCATCTCCAAATGATGTTAGAGTTTGAGTCATATGTGAAATTATTTGGGTTGGGCTTGATTGTACATGCATGCAAACATATATAATAAGGTTGTGGTTGTAATGCAGTTCGCAGTTTTTCCAGTTACTGCTCAAGGCATAGATGAGAAGCATCCCCTATGGGCCTGACTGCCCCTGTCCAGTACTGCCATGCCCCATCTCTAACTACTATATTTTTTCCTATTGAGTTCTCCAATCCATGTAGGATAAGTCCCTTCCTGAACTCAGTTTGTTTTTCTAACCCTGGCTGCATGTTAGGATCACCTGAGAAGTTTTAGAAGAATTCCAGTGCCTGAGCCAAGCACCTAGAAATTCTGACTCATTGCCCTGGGTTAGGACTTTGGCATCATCATTGTTTTAAAAGATCCCCAGATGATTCCGACATGGAACCATGGAGAGAAACACTAATCTAGCCTAAACAAGTGAGGTTACAAATGAAGAATTTAACCCAAGATGTCAAAGTACTTGATTTCCCACTGCAAAGAAATGCCATTTATTGGGTTCAAAACTCCCATCTATTGACTTTAAATCCAGTATAACATACAGGAGCAAGATTTTAGAAGGTTTAGGAAACTTATCTGCAGAGCAGAGTCAATAGAGGCCCATCTAAAAGGACATCTCACAATAAAGATGGTTAAAAACAGAGGCAGAGCACTGTTGGTGGGGCTGGTGGTGGCGGGTGTGGATGACTTTCCGAAAGAGAAAGCACTTGACCTGGGTCTGAAAGGCTGGGTGTGATTAAAGGCAGGCACCATTGTTCACTTGTTAGCCCCAGGGCCGTGCTACTCCACTTTCTTCAAGGAAACAAAGGGAAGCTGGCAAGTGCCTGCCTGGGGTATGTGTCTACCAACCATGTAGAGGCAGTTCTTCAGCTCTGTCAGCCATGGCCAAGCAGGCAATATTTGGGCCACCTTGGACCCCTCCTGAGGGGCAGCGTCAGATACCAGGCACCCCCTCAGACATCATTCTTGGAGTCTCTTCCCTCCTTCATGTAAACCTCACAGCCATCAGTGAAGGCACTGAACTCTTTCCAGGGGCTGGGTAGGCTGCCTCGGGGATGCTCTTCTTGACCTTAAAATCTACCTGCTAGGTCGGGTAGGGGGGTAGAAATTTTGGTGATAGGAAAGCCAGCAGTTATCAGCTCAAAGGATTTCTGATAAAAGAAGTTTTGTTCAGCAGAAAGGTAATCAAATTATAGGAGCCTTAAGTGCCAGTTTCGGCTAAATTCTCGGAATCACTGGCAAATTGTAAGTAGGGGAGTGACGTAGTAAAACCACTGGAAGGCCTGGAGTTTGTGATGGGAAGGTGTGCAATCCCTTTCTTGTTTTCCCATATGGCTCTGCAGTTAGGCGAAGGCAGAAGACTTTGTGCATAAAGGCAGCACCTGAACCTTCTTATTTCTGATCCCCCACAGTGGGTCTAACGTTGCATCATCAACACGTTATATTTGTTTAAAAAACAATAGTTCCCTCATTGAGCCTCTAAAGATGTGTGGGGAAGCTCTTAAGAGTATCAGGACTTTCAGTATCCCTCAATTTATTGTTAGGTTCCGTCCAGACCTACACACAGTAGCCTAGGGACATGTCTGGAACAAGGTGTGACAAAAAACAAGGAAATACATTTATTAATTTCAGAAAATGCCTTCTTATTTTTTTTTGAGATGGAGTCTTGCTCTGTCGCCCAGGCTGGAGTGCAGTAGTGCGATCTCAGCTCACTGCAACCTCCGCCTCCTGGATTCAAGCAATTCTCCTGCTTCAGCCTCCTGAGTAGCTGGAAGTACAGGTGCGTGCCACCACACCCGACTGCTTTTTTGTATTTTTAGTAGAAATGGGGTTTTACCATGTGAGCCAGGATGATCTCAATCTCCTGACATCACGATTAGCCCACCTCGGTCTCCCAAACTGCTGGGATTACAGGCGTGAGCCACCGCACCCAGCCAGAAAATGCCTTCTTTTTCCTAGGCCTCACTCATAGATATTTTCTTGACAAGTCCCTACTTCAGATTTCACAGAAATATGCACCATCCTTTGGAATTCTGAAGAAACTCAAGTTTCAATTGAGCCGAGTCTCAGTGGCATGCATTTTATTACATCTAATGCCATTGTAATATGTTTGAAACTGGGAGATGAAGACAATTGGTCCTTACGTATAAACCACCACAAAGAATTCACCTGAGTGTGGAAGGGAGCCGGTAGCCTAAAAACCCTGTATTTTGGAGGCTGTTACTTTATAATCCCTGTTACAAAATTGGGAAAACTGATGCAGTTACTCTCTAAGATGGTCTTAGATGCACAGTTCAATAGAACTTTCTGCAAAGATGAAAATGTACCTGTACTGTCCGGTGCCATAACCATTAGCTACATTTGGCTTGAAATGTGGCAGGACAGATAAGGAACTTAATTTCAAATACAGATATAATTTTATTTCAGTTAACTTAAACTTAAATAGCTACAGGTGGCTGCTAGTTATCATCATCGATAGGACAGTTATAGGGCATCATTAAAGTTCCCATTCTTCTCACATCCCAAAGAGGTACATTGAGTTAATCTCTTAGCACCTATAATCATAGTGGGATAGATTAAATTACTTGTACCTCTCCTTTCCTGTGCTTTGGAATTATAGGCTGCTTGTCCTGGAAACCTGGCAGGCTCATGTTTGTGGAAATACTCCTTAGTAGTGCACTATAATTATAATACTTTATTGTGGGGGGATCCAGCCAGGCCTTTTTTTATCATCTGTGTTTTTAGTTTTAATCTTAAAAGGATTGTAAAAATAGTCCTGTCTTGTGGGAGAAAAATATGCTTAAAGTCTATGAGCATGAAGTGATAGAGATTATAAACCACTCAAAGTTCTCCTGGAAATTCTGGGGGGAGGGAAGTTAAAGCATAGAAATCTCCTAAGAGAAAACTTGTCCTGAAGGTTTGCTTTTAATTGGGTTCAGTTTTTATCAGAAGAACCCTGCAAAAGTGGGTTCCCTGAGGGCATTTGGATTTTCCCCTGTGAATATATT